GGGATTGTATTATAATGATGATCTTCAAAAACATATACATTTCATTAGGCTAACCCAGGGTTTCTCAACCTTGGCATCATTGACAGTGGGGCTAAATAATTCTTTTTTTTTTTTTTTTTTGACAGGCAGAGTTAGAGAGAGACAGAGAGAAAGGTCTTCCTTTTCCGTTGGTTCACCCCCAAATGGCCGCTATGGCTGGCACGCTGCACTGATCCAAAGCCAGGAGCCAGGTGCCTCCTCCTGGTCTCCCATGCGGGTGCAGGGCCCAAGCACTTGGGCCATCCTCCGCTGCCTTCCTGGGCCACAGCAGAGAGCTGGACTGGAAGAGGAGCAACCGGGACAGAATCTGACACCCCAACCCGGACTAGAACCCGGGGTGCTGATGCTGCAGGCGGAGGATTAGCCAAGTGAGCCACAGCAATTCTTTGTCATAAGGGGACAGGGATGGGGAACTTTCCTGTCCATTGTAGAATGTTTAGCTGCACTCCCAGCCTTTTCCCATAAAATGCCTGTTGCCAAAATATCCCCAGACATTGCCAAATACTCCTTGAGAGCATAATCACCCCAATGAAGAACCGCTGGCCTACACCCACTATCTTTATTTAGTTCTTAAGCATTACAAGGTTATTTCATTTCCTACTACCCAATTGAAACTGTTCTAACTAATATCTCCAGTTACTGTTTTGTAGCTAAACAGGAGACATTTAACAGTTCTTCTTTAACTTGATCTCTCCAAATTATTTTTTAAAAGATTTATTTTTTGTTTTTAAAGAATTATTATCTTTTATTTGAAAGACATAGTGACAGAGAGGGAAGTGGGAGAGACATAAAGAAAGAGATCTTCTGTCTGCTGGTTCAGTCCCCCAATGGCCACGACAGTCAGTCAGCCAAAGCCAGAAGTCAGAAACAAAGAATTCCATCCAGGTCCCCAACATGGGTGGCAGGGGTGCATGCATTAGCAAGGAGCTGGATCAGAGTTACACAGAGAGAGAAGAGGCAGAGAGAGAGAGAGAGAGAGAGAGAGAGAGAGAGAGAAAGTCTTCCATCTGATGATACTCCCCAGATGGCCGCAATGGCCAGAGCTGGGCCAATCCAAAGCCAGGAGCCTGGAGCTTCTTCTGGGTCTCCCATAGGGGTACAAGGGCCCAAGGACTTGAGCCATCTTCTACAGCTTTCCCAGGCAATAGCAGAAAGCTGGGTTAGAAGTGGAGCAGCCGGGACTTGAACTGGTGCCTATGTGGGATGCCGGCTCTGCAGGCAGCGGCTTTACCCACTGCTTTACCACTGAACTAGCATTTAAGAAAACACTTAGAAACCACAAAAGACCCCAAATAGCCAAAGTGACCCTAAGTTAAAAAAAAACAAAAACAAAAACAAAAAACTGAAGACCAGCCAGCATCCCATATCTGAACTCTGGTTAGAATTTCAGCTGCTTTACTTCTGATCCAGCTCCTTGCTAATGCATGCACCCCTGCCACCCATGTTGGGGACCTGGATGGAATTCTTTGTTTCTGACTTCTGGCTTTGGCTGACTGACTGTCGTGGCCATTGGGGGACTGAACCAGCAGACAGAAGATCTCTTTCTTTATGTCTCTCCCACTTCCCTCTCTGTCACTATGTCTTTCAAATAAAAGATAATAATTCTTTAAAAACAAAAAAGCTGGAGGCATCACAATACCTGACTTAAAAATACATTACAAGGTTCGGCGCTATGTTGTAGTAGGTTAATCCTCCACCTGTGGTGCTGGAATCCTATATGGATACTGGTTCCAGTCTTGGCTGTTCCACTTCTGACCCAGCTCTCTACTACGGCCTGGGAAAGCAGTAGAAGAATGGCCGAAGTGCTTAGGCTCCCGCAGCTGCATGGGAGACCCGAAAGAAACTCCTGGCTCATGGCTCTGCAGCCAGCAGGTGGAAAACCTTTCTCTCTGTAACTCCACCTCTCAAATAAATAAATGAATCCTTAAATATATATATATTAATATACATATTAAAAGCTACAGTATCCAAAAAGTACGATATTGGTATAAAAACCAACACACAGACCAACATAACAGAATAGAGAATACAGAAATTCATTCGTGGACAGACATTCAACTGATTTTTGACAAAGGTGATGAGACTACATTATAGAAAGGATAATCTCTTAAGTAAATGGTACTGGCAAAACTGGATTGTGAAGTTTGATCATTACCTCTCACTATACACAAAAATAAACTCAAAATGTATCCAAGACCTAAATGTACAACCTAAAGCTATGAATAGAAGAAAACAAAGGAAATACAGTACATTATTGTAGGCAAAGCTTTTTGGATAACACAACAAAAGTAAAAACAGACAAATGGGAATAAGAAGATTCTTGGAAGCAGAAGAAACAGCCAACAGAGTGAGGAGGCAGTAAGTAGAATGGGAGAGAATACACATCATTCACCCAACAAGGGATTAATATTCAGAATATATAAGGACCTAAAAAATCAATAGCCAAAAAAAAACACAATCTAAATTTAAGAATGAGCAAATGATCTGTACAGGCATTTCTCAGAAGAAGCCATACAAATAGAATCAGGTGATGGCTCAAGTACCTGGATCTCTGCCACCCTTGTGGGAAACCTGGATGGAGTTCCTGACTCCTGGCCCAGCCCTGGCTGTTGTGGGCATCTTGGGAGTGAATGAGCAGATAAAATGTATCTCTATGTGTATGTCTCTTTCAAATGAGATGAAACTAAAATAAAATAAAAAAAAGACAAAAAGTAACAAATGCTAGTGAGGATGCAGAGAAAAGGAAACCTATACTCTGTTGGTAGGATTGTATAGAAAACAGTACAGATTCATTAAAAAAAAAAGATCTGACATATGATCCAGCATCCCACTACTGTATATATATCCAAAGGATATGAAATTATTATACCTGAGATACCTGTACTCCCATATTTATTGAAGCACTATTCTAGTAGTCAAGAAATGAAATCAACCAAGATGTCCATCAACAGATGAATGGATAAAGAAATGTATATATACACACTAAAACATTTTTTTTTGACGGGCAGAGTGGACAGTGAGAGAGAGAGAGACAGAGAGAAAGGTCTTCCTTTTTGCCGTTGGTTCACCCTCCAATGGTCGCTGCAGCCGACGCACTGCGGCCGGCGCACCGCGCTGATCCGAAGGCAGGAGCCGGGTGCTTCTCCTGGTCTTCCATGGGGTGCAGGGCCCAAGCACTTGGGTCATCCTCCACTGCCTTCCCGGGCCACAGCAGAGAGCTGGCCTGGAAGAGGGGCAACCAGGACTAGTACCCGGCGCCCTGACTGGGATTAGAACCCGGTGTGCCAGCGCCGCAAGGTGGAGGATTAGCCTAGTGAGCCATGGCGCCGGCCAGACTAAAACATTTTTAAAAAGCATGGAGTCCTGTCATTTGCAGCAAGATGGATGGAACTGGTAGAAATTACATTAAATGAAATAAGCCAGATACAGAAAGACCCATACCACATCCTCATATGTGGAAGGTAAATGAAGTCTATCACAAGGTAGAATAGTTATTACTAGGGGCTAAGAGCGGAGTGGGAGGTAGATATAGAGATATTGTATAATAGGTACCAAAACATAGTAGAAGAAATGAGTTCCAGTTTTTCACAGCACACTGGGGGTGAGTATAATTCACAATAATACATTTTTATTTTATGAAGAATTAGAGGAGAGGAGCTCTGAGTTTTGAAACATGAAGAAATGTTAAGGAAAGGCTTTGTGTCTTGTTCAGCACAGTGCACCACATATGGTGAGGCACTCCGATATTCGTTGCACCAAAAGGGTGGCAGGAAGCCAATTACTTGAGCCATCAGCTGCTTCTCAGGGTCTGCACTAACAGGAGGCTGGAGTTGGGAGCTGGACCTGCATATTGAACTGGCGCACTCCAATTGCATGAGCACCTTAATCAGTGTCTTAACTGCTAGGCTGTATCTATAGTATATCCAACGACTGTCTATCTATATCTATATGTATAGTATATGTATGTATTTAACACATACGTGTATTTTAGAGGTAGTGACACAAACATGGAGACAATCTCTTTATTTTTAACCTGTCTTGAACTGTGAACGTCTGATGAAAAAGAATGTTTGCCTGAGACCAGATTTCTAATTGCGAAATTTCAGAAATAGCAGATGGTTTCTTGTGGGGAAAGATGGTTTCTCTCCTGAAAGAAAGGAACGATAAATGAGGAGAAATAAGCAACCATCAAGCCCGTCGGGTTCACCAAAGTGGAGTCAATATGGATTGTCAGACGCTTCATATACAGGAAAAACTAGGAAGCCTGGGTCTAACTGCTTAAGATGTGTCATTCATTCCTTAATTTTAACAGAGTGCCTATTAATTTGCCTGTCAACTGAGCCTAGGAATTCAAAAATGGGCAAGTCTTAACGCTGTCCTTGCTGTTAACAAACCTACAACCTAATGAGAGACGAATACTTAGGAAAATCATTTTCATGGAGGCGGTAAGCTCTGATAAAGAAGGTATAGAACTTAGTGGGGTTGGGTGGGAGGGATCGAAGGATGGGGTGAAGCATTGGGTGGGCAAGAAAACCTATCCAGTTTACACGAGACTGTAAAGAGGTGTGAGAAACCTGACAGTCTGGGGGAACAGAGACAAGTTCAACAGCTGTGATGTGGGCTCCCACAGAGAAAGAGCTGGAAGGGCACCTTGGTAGACTTGGCCCACAATGAAGCCTGTGAGAGTCATCGGCCATTGGAACGTCGCCTGGGCAAGGCCGAGAACATTCTGCACTTCATTACACCTGGGCAGGCAGCTCTTGCTTCACGTTACTGGTACCACCTGCAGAACGGCGCCGGCCCGCACAACGCCGGGCTCTGCCCGGGACAGCTCACGGAGCTCCACTCACATCCGACCGCGCCCAGGGCGGCGGCCCCATAAGCCCCGCCCACGTCCACGCCGGTTCCGCGGGGCCCAGTCCCTAGGGCCGCCCCTGGCCTCGGCGGTCACGTGACGCGAAGTGTGACGTAGGAGGAAGGAGACGCCATTAGAGGGAGGAGGAGACCGAGTGCTCTTCGCCTTTCCTCCGGTTCCTGACGTGGTGGCTTGGGCCCTTCATTCTCGGACTTTCCTTGGGCTCCCCCAGGCCTTGCTGTGAGGAGGGAGCGGAGGGTGTGCCGGGGTTGGCGGCCCTGGGCAGAGGCGACTGCGCGGGCTGCGGCTGGGAAGGCGCTGTCGCGACTTTGGGGAGCTCTGCGCGGCTCTCGGGCTTGGGCGGCGGGCAAGCAGCGGGATGGCTGCGGCCGGCGGCGGGGCGGCGGCGGGCCGAGCCTACTCGTTCAAGGTGGTGCTGCTTGGGGAAGGCTGCGTGGGAAAGACGTCGCTGGTGCTGCGCTACTGCGAGAACAAGTTCAACGACAAGCACATCACCACTCTGCAGGTGCGGCCCCGGGGACGGGGGGTGGCGCCCGGGGCCCCCACCCTCTGCGGCTGAGGACTTGGCCGCCAGGCTCCCTGGGTCGGGGTCGGTGGAAATCAGGGGTGTCAAACCCGCCTTCGGAATTCGCCCCGGACTGCTGGAGAGAGGAGGGAGTGGAAGGGCCCTGAAAAGTCCCCAGCGTCCCCGGTGGTGGCTGCGCACGTCGCGGAGTTCCCGTCCTGGGCTAGTTTCCCCTCCCTAATGTGCTTCCGCCCGGGCCCTAGGTGTTCTCACCCTGCTGCCTCGGAGCCTGGGCCCTTTTCTTTCGGAATTGGGAATTTAACTGCCGGTTTCATTTTGCGGACTAGGCGATGATTTGTAACTTCACCCCTTACTGATGACTAAGTGTTTATGCAAGTTCCATTTTGTCCTATCTTCGAGTCACAGAAACGGCAAAGCAGCCCTGTGTGGAGGGTTTTTGAAATGACCGCTTGCCGGGGTGGGTTACGCAGTTTCATTGCAGCCTGCTTGAGTCTTGGCTTGTGGGTCACTCATTTTCTGCGAGGTCGGTCGGCCCACGTTGAAACGTCACGTGAATACTGGCCCGCAATTGGTCCCCAAAATACCAATTTAGCCGCTGGTACCATGCATTTCCTCCACCTGTAATCCGGTACAGTTACTTTGGGGAAGCGTTAAAATGTAATCATTGCTTGAGAGTGAAGCCAGCCTTTGAGGGACCTGTCTCTCCCGAAGAAATCAATTTGCATGTGTCAAAAGAAATCCTACTGATCTGACTTGATCAGTTTGGTCAGAGGCAGTGAGGGCTAGTGGACTCTGGAGCCTCACTGTCTCCTTTCATAACCCACCTCCGTTTAACTGTGTGCTCTTGGGTAAATTACTTAATCTGCCTGAGCTTAGGTTTTTTTCTGTTAAAGTGACTATAATGGTGTCTGGCTGTTAGGACCTGAGCCACTGCATGATCTGTATTATTACTGCCCCAACTTGCACAGTATATGTAAATTAGTAATTGTAGTAGTGTGCAATAACATGGATGCTATTTAATGGAATGCACAGGCTCCCCGTGGTTGTCATTTGATGTTTGGTGCTATTATTAAACTACTGAGTCTAGAATCTATAAAGATGCACTGCTTCTGATTCCATGTTCTATTTTTACTTCTCTGCTTTTACTCCTATGTAAGTCATAATATCTAAAGAAATGAATACTAGGAGATTGCACTTTTTTGCCTTAAATTCTTCAAGAGCACTTAACAAATTTTTAATAGTAAATTGTTGAGTATTGCTAGTGAGTACTTTGTGCTTTAGAGAAAGGAAATTTCATGGGGTAAATATGAATGATCATTTGAAAGTTTAGAAATTCACTTAGGTAAAGTGGTAACAATAACATTTAGTGAGTTTTTAGTGTGCTTATTTACTTTATGTCATTTAATTCTTTTAACAGATTATGGCATGGATAGGGTTGCATTTGTTTTGTTTTTTTAAGAGGCGGGGGAGAGAGCTCCCATAGACTGGTTCACTGCCCAAATGCTACTGAGGGCTGAAGCCAGGAACTCAGTCCAGGTCTCCCACATGAGACAGGAACCAGATTACTTGAGGCATCACTGGCACCTCCCAAGTCTGCATCAGTAGGAAACTGGAATCAGGAGTTAGAGCTGGGCGTATAACCCAAATACTCTGACGTGGGATGTGGGCATCTTGACTGCTAAGGCTAAACTCCTACCCTGATGTGCATCATGTTATTAGCCTGGTTTTACAGGTGAGGAAACAGGCTTTGTTGAGTAATTTGCTGGCAGTCATATTGTTGTCACAAGTATGGTCAAGTAGAGCCCAAGCTTAAATTTGAACCTCGGTCTGACTTGAGATTTTGAGAAGGCACAAACTACCCCATTCAGCACTTTGTTTTGTGCTAAGGTCTAAAAGAAAACTATTGTAGTTGAGATCTTAATTTTTTTTATCTTCAAACTTTTTTTTTAAATTTATTTGTTTGAAGGGCAGAGTTACAAAGAAGCAGAATGAGAGAGAGAGAGAGAGAGAGAGAGAGAGGGTCTTCCATCTGCTGGTTCTCTCCCCAAATGGCTGCAACAGCCAGAGCTGGGCTGATCCGAAGCTAGGAGCTCCTTCCAGGTATCCCACCTGGGTGCAGGGCCCTAAGACCTGGGCCATCTGCTGCTGCTTTCCCAGGCCATAGCGGAGAGCTGGATTGGAAGTGGAGGAGCTAGGACTTGAACCGGTGCCCATATGGGATACCAGCACTGTAGGCAGCTGGTTTACCTGCAGCGCTGACTCCTCAAATTATTTTTTTTTAAACTGTAGTGGTATGCAGTTCCTATCAGTTTGTTTGACAAAGATTTAAAACAAAGTTTTCCAAAACATTGCATTTGCAGCGAAACTGATGCACACAGGCATTTCTTTTTTTGTTTTAAATTTCAGCTCCTACATTTAACAGAAAACATGTAGTATTTGTCTTTCTGTATCTGGCTTTTTTCATTTAACATGAGATCTTGATTTTTTTTTCTTCTTAAAGATTTATTTATTTATTGAAAGGCAGAGTTAGAGACAGACAGACAGACATTGATCTTCCATTTGCTGATTCATTCCCAGATGACGGCAATAGACACGGCTGGGCCAGGCAGAAGCCAGGAGCTTCTTCCAGGTCTCCCACGTGGGTACAGGGGCCCAAGCATCCGGGCCATCCTCCACTGCCCTCTCAGGCCATAGCAGAGAGCTCGATTGGAAGAGGAACAGCCAGGACACAAATCAGCACCCACAAAGGATGCCAGCACCACAGGCGGTTGCCACTGTGCCAGCCCAAAGAAAATATTCTGTAAGCTGTGGGCAGTTGTCGTATTACTGGATTTGCTGTCAAGTGAAAAACACCCTGGCTCTTAATTGCTTCAAAAAAGTTGTTTCATCCTTCAAATTCTTTTATTTGGTTTTGTAGTAAAAGTTTATTTTTCTTTTGGTTCCTAATATATTTGATCCGTTAAAGTTGGGTTTAATTTGTTCAGATGGTTAAAGCCTGTTACTGTCCTTTTGAATACTGATTCTGTAATTCATGGAATATTGGGCAGAAGCACCAGGAACTAGATTGGGTCCTGGGTGTGCAAAGAAGAGTAAGGGAGTAGAAGCTATGGTTTGGGTTACCTACTTTTTAACTTTGTCACCTGAAGATTTGATAATAATGCTTCCATGTTCTCATCAGGACATTAATAGAGACTTTGAAAGAAAAGAGAGAGAGAGAATGCCAAGTACAAAGCCATGTAGCGGGTCTTTACATAATTCAAGTAGTGCATGGCCAGAGGTAAGTTTTTCTTCAGCAGTGCAAACTCTTAGGATGGGGCTTTTTCAGACTGTGCATGGGCCACAGGCCTTCTCCTCTTTCTTCTTGAGTGAGAAACACAGGTATTAATGGAGTGGTAGGCATATTAATGATAAATGAAATGGAAAATAACTTAGGACTAACTACCTTGGGTTATTGCCTAGAGTGGACCCAAATCCTTTTATGAAATTTAGAGTTATCTAAGAACTACAATTCTGACTTTTTGCCCTGGCCACATCAGTCTTGCCCACAGGATTATCATGAGGTGCTTTGTCAAATGTATGCAGAAGACAGGACACACAGTGTTTTTGCAGTACCCAGATCTGTGAGAGGGCTATATGATGTGGTAGAAATAGAAAGGACTTTGAAGTTAAACTTGGGTTTGAATTCTGAATCCTACTTCATAACCATCATGATCTTGGTAGGTTATTCTAATGTCTGTAAGCTGTCTCCTTTTCTATAAAAATGCAAGTACCTGATTCAGATCTTTTAAGTGACTAAATAGTCATCACATTTAAAGCTACTAGCACAGTGTCTGGCACATGTTTGTTGAATAAACATTTGCTGTGGATTGAAGACATGATTATGTTTCTTTTTTCATTATAGTCAATAAAGGTAATAAGAGTAATTTGATATGAATGGTTTTGAGAACCCATGCTGTCTTTGAGGAATCACATATTTAAATTAACAGCATTATCCATCCTGAAGTTTTGACTGGGACATTTTATTTTTTTGAAAATTGTGAAGTTTACCATGCTTGGGTATTTTCATATTGGCTTTTTTCCACAGAGCTGCTTCTAAGCTACTGATAGTTACAAAGTAACCTTATAGGTATGCTTTTTGGCCTAGAAAACTTGAATATTTTGTAGGGTCTCCAAGTTCCCTTACGTGATTTCCCCACTGATTTAAGGTATTGATAAACCTGACAGAAAACAAAGACAATTAGAAGGAGAGAGTAATTGCTGCTTCTCTGAAATTTATTAAGGTGGTCTTGTTGACTCTCAGCAACTAAATTCAAGAAATGTTTATATCTGTTATGTATCAAACATTGTACTAACTGGGAAATGTAAAGATGATTAAGGAACTTTATTTTTTTTTTAAATTTATTATTTATTTGAAAGACACAGTGAAGAGAGAGATCTTCCATCTTCTGGTTCATTCCCCAAATGGCCATAAGGCAGGGCTGGTCCAGACTGAAACTAGGAGCCCAGAATTCTATCCAGGTCTCTCACATGGGTGGCAGGCATCCAAGTATTTGAGGCATCACCTGTTGCTCTCCCAGGTGCATTAGCAGGAAGTTGGATTGGCAGGGGAGCAGCCAGGACTCATACTAGCACCCCTATGTGGGATGCTAGTATTGTAGGCCATGGCCTATTCCATCAGTTAGTACTGTTAACAGATTGTGCTATTTTTGCTGTAATCATCTTTGGTCTTTAGGTGTGTCCTTTTTGTATCTGTGCTAGTGAGTGATCATTTCCATTTCTCTTACTGTGCTGCTTTGTTCATGCTACATGCAATTTCACTTTTGTCTTCTGAGGCAGTTAACTTTATTTTTTTTAATTTTATCTTTTTATTTAAGAGGTAGAATTACAGACAGTAAGAGGAGGAGACAGAGAGAAAGGTCTTCCTTCTGTTGGTTCACTCCCCAGATGGCTGCAATGGCTAGAGCTGCTCCGATCCAAAG